TAAGGTACTTGCTTTGTGCACAGAGGCACAGTGATGATGGAACAGAAAAGAACTTCCCCAATCTTTAGTCACAAGGTTGGCAGCACAGAATTAACTAAAATGTCTTTGTATATTGGATCATTACCAGCAGGGTAATGATCCAGCAGCTGAAACATGATGGAACGCCTATCTTCTCTTACCCATCACTAAACACAGAAGGTGGAAGAGGAAGTTTTTGTACTACTCACTTCCTCCACCGGCATCTGTGTGCTATCGCCGGGAACTAAGAGCATGATGAGAGCAGGGCATATGTCAGTGGATGCCCCGGGTCCCCATGCTGCAACCACCGCATTCTTAAAATAAGTTTTGTGGTGCTTCGAGAAGCTGCTCCTGTCCCACCCCTCCTATCAGACCTGTGTAGTACAGAGCCAAGCTGACTCTATACTATGGTCTGGTAAGTGGAGACTGCACTGTGTAGGAGAAACAAGCAAAAAAAAAATGGCTCACACATCACAGACCATAGCTGGCTGCACTGCTGTGAGGTTTTTGTGCAGGGGTGAGGTGAGAGAAAGCTGTGGAGGGAAAAAGAGTAGTGGGGTGGTATCTGTGGGGAGGTGACAGATAGGGCGTGGGGGGGATTTGTGAGTGCTGGGAATTGTGAATAGAGTTGTGAAGGTGGGGTGTTAGCAGATTTTTGAAGAGGTGAGAGCTGTGAAGAGCAAGGTGAGGTTATGAAGAGAGGTGAGAGCTCAAAAAGGAAAGGGGGGCATGTTGTGCAAAGTAAGAGTTGTGCAGTGAGGAGGGCAAGTTGTACAGAGGTAAGAGCTGGGAAAGGGTGGTTGGCAGATGGTGCAGAGATGAAAGATGGGGGGGGGGGTTCAAGAGGTGAAAGCAGTGGACAGGGGGAAGAAGAGATGAGCTGTGGAAGGGGGGAAGAGGAGGTGAGCTGTGGACGGGGGGGGGGGGGGAGAAGAGGTGAGCTGGGGATGGGGGGGAAGAGGAAGTGAGCTGTGGACAGGGGAAAAAGGAGGTGAGCTGTGTGTGGGGGGGGGGGGGGGGAGAAGAGATGAGCTGGGGACGGGGGGGGGGGGGAAAGAGGAAGTGAGCTGTGGATAGGGGAAAGAGGAGGTGAGCTTTGGATGGGATGGGGGGGGGAGAGGAGATGAGCTGGGGATGGGAGGGGAAGAGGAAGTGAGCTGTGGACAGGGGGAAGAACAGGTGAGCTGGGGATGGGGGGGAAGAGGAAATGAGCTGTGGACTGGGGAAAGAGGAGGTGAGCTGTGGACGGGGGAATAGAAGAGGTACGCAGTTGACAGAGGTGAGCTGTGGACAAGGGTTGCAGAGGTTAGCTGTGAAGGAGGGGGGCAAAGAGGTAAGCAAAGAGGTGTGCAGAGCTGAACAACAGATGGTTACATTGGGGAATATGTAAGTATTTTCCCTTTTTGATTTTTTTTTTCTTCTGTGCCTTGTGTGGTACATACACCTCAGCACTGCGATGTATGCACTCCGGAGTGTGGTACCCTTTGCCTCTTGTGCTTTGAGCAATGCGTAGATTATTTGGCGCTGCTTTACTTTTCTTCCTGAGGAATGGTGGAGTTGGGGTGGCTAGAGAGGGTAAGTCATTCTCTGAGAAAAAAAAAGCCCAGTACTTTCAACGAAAAGGGTCTCCACATACTTTTAGCCATTTAGGTAGGTGAGATGGTAAGTTGTCCACAAGCTATGAACATATAGTATATTGGTAAACGAATCCACTGAAAGCTAAACATTCTCTTTAAGAACAGAAATTCCAAAAGATGCTTTGAACCAAGGTTATTCTCAAAAGACAGATGTACTATTTTCACCAACTGATTACACTAGGACACTTAGGTTATATACCACAATGCAGATTGTTGATTACAATCAGTGGATAAATAGCTTTTTTACTCTCCTTGATGGAATTGATGTAAATTAACCTGCTACAGCTTGTTTACTGCTTCCGCTAATCAAAAGGAATGGCAAGAGTACAATAATTTAAATTAGCAGTGCCCCTTGATCAATAGACTTGACTTGTGTTTATGAAGGTACATATGGATTTATTGGGGGATTAATGGAAACTCGCTTTCCCAACCTACTGCTGTTGTCAGCTGGGAAAATAAAAGTAAGGTTAGAGGAGGTTTTATCATTAGATGTCGACTTTTCACCTTGTTTATCCTGACCTATAGAAGACTAAAGCCAACATGTCAAGGAACAAGTGTTGTTTGACAGCCATAAACACTTGCCAAAAATTCAATAAATGCTGTGGCTCTTCACTGCAACAGAAAGAAAAAACAAGTCAGCTGTAGGAAATAAACTTGGATTGCTTGCTAAAGTTCAAATATTTAGGGTGTGTAATAAGAAATCAAGGCTCAGTGGAGCAGGCCCTGACACTTGGAAAGAGGCAGTATAAATATTTAGTTTTTTTCTTACATTTTTGCCCTTGGGGGCAGGGACTGATGTGAATGTAAAATACTGTATATGTGTAAAGCACTATGTAAATTGATGGCACTATATAAATACCTGTAAGAAAGAAACAATGAGACAGTTTTACATAGAAAAATAAATATTTAACTATTAATTTAGAAGTTTTTTTTTTTTTAATTAACCGCTTCCTGACTGCCCTATAGCAGAAATACTGCAACAGGGCAGCACGGGTGCGCAAAATCATGGTAATTACCCACCGGCGCCCGGTGATTACCAAGCATCTCTGATGGGAAGAAAGACTATTTTGTTTATGAACAGTCTTCCTCCCTGTCAGCTCGGACACACTGCACAACACAGCCATCCCAATCAGTGTGCTTACAGTGAAGCACACCCCCCCACCCACCCCCTAGTAAAACATTCCCTGCATATCCCTTTGGTCACCTCCCATGTTCACCCCTTCCTGGCCAGTGTCATTAGTACAATGTCAGTGCTTTTCTTAGCAATGATCACTGTATTGGTGTCACTGAGGATGTCAGTGACACCAAGTTAGTTCCCCCCAGTGTCAAAATGTCTGCCGCAGTCCTGCAAAAAGTCGCTGATCGCTGCCATTACTAGTAAAAAAAAAAAAAATCCCAGTATCTATACCTCCATTTGTAAATGCTATAACTGTCACTTAAACCAATTAATTTACATGTTTTGGGATTTTTTATAGCAAGGACATGTAGCAGTATACATTTTGGCCTAAATTTATGCCGAAATTTGATTTTTAAATTTTTTTTACTGGACATGTTTAATAGCAAAAAGTCCAACATATTTTTTTTTTTTTCAAATTTGTTGGTCTTTTTCTTTATAGCGCAAAAAATAAAAAAAACGCACAGGCGATCAAATACCACCAAAAGAAAGCTCAATTCGTGGGAAAAAAAGGACGTAAATTTAATTTGGGTGCAGCATTGCATGACTGCGCAATTGTCGGTTAAAGTAACACAGAGCTGTAACGCAAAAAAATGGCCTGGTCAGGAAGGGGGGGGGGGGGGGGTAAGTGGTTAAAGATCTTCTCCAAGATAAAAAAAAACACCTTTTTCCACTTCACCTTCCATACCTAATTTATTACTTTTTAATTTAAAGCCTACATTTAGGTAAAACTTTTTAAAATTATTAAGCACAAGGAATGGTGCGTACATTTAATCCAAAGTGTCCCTTGTACTGTTGCTGTCTCTCTTTGAAATCAGAAGTCCTCTTCACCACCCTCCCATACCCTGAAGCCATAATCGTCTGATGCTGCGGGGGTTAACACAGGCAATGGACTTTTCATTCATGAACCTTGCTATAGTGCAGGTACTATAAATAAAGTAAGAGATTAAAGGGCAGGAACAGTCAACAATCTTGAGGAGTACCTGTGGCAGGTCTACAGCTCTACTGACCCTTGCAACACCAGAAGATTATGGGCTGCAGGGTTTTAAAGGTGGGCAGAGTACAGGGGATTTCAAATATGGCACTAGCTCAAGGAACACTTCAGGTTAAATGTAAGCACAGTAAGTCCCCTACATACAAACGTTCAACTTGTGAACTTTCAAAGATACGAACATGCGTTTGCATGTCCAATTGTGTAAAGCTGGGTACACACACTCAGTTTTTTTCAACCTGGGCTGAATGGAATAAAACCTGACAGATTTCCCTACCAACATAAGCAATGTTGGTGTGGTGATCTCCCCCACTGTGCCTTTGTGTTTCAGATAAAGAGACTTCCTCCACTAGAACACACTGATCAGAGCTCGCAGCCATTGCCTGCAAAAGCTGATCTTTGTTGGACTTACAAATGATCTCCGTAAGTAGGGGACTTACTGTAACATCCCCTGTGCTGATATTTAAAGAAAAAGGTTTCCCATAAACTTTGGCTTTAAAAATATTATACCTAAAAGCCTAACACTTTCCTAAAATCCCAGTTACATGACACACCAAGTCCAAGGTCTACTTTGTTCTGGTCTGTTGTAAATGAGATTCTGGTCTGCAATGTTCACATTGATTCCTGGTGACATGGACACTGCCCATTAGCTGCTAAAGCAGTGGTTCTCAACCTTTCTAATGCCGCGACCCCTTAATACAGTTCCTCATGTTGTGGTGACCCCCAACCATAAAATTATTTTCATTGCTACTTCATAACTGTAATTTTTGCAGTGGGAGGAGTAGTGCCCCATCATTGGTATCAGTGGGAGGAATAGTGCCCCATCATTGGTATCAGTGGGAGGAATAGTGCCCCATCATTGGTGTCAGTGGGAGGAATAGTGTCCCATCACTGATAGTCAAGTGGGAGGAATAGTGCCCCATCATTGTATCGTTGTCAGCAGAGTCGAGGAATAGTGCCCCATCATTGGTATCAGTGGTAGGAAATAGTGCCCCATCATTGGTGTCAGTGGTAGGAATAGTGCCCCCATCATTGGGTGTCAGTGGTAGGAATAGTGCCCCATCATTGGTGTCAGTGGTAGGAATAGTGCCCCATCATAGGTGTCAGTGGTAGGAAATAGTGCCCCATCATGGGAGGGGTGTCATACGTGTCAGTGGGGGAATAGTGCCCCCATTCATAGGTGTCAGTGGGGGGAATAGTGCCCCATCATTGGTGTCAGTGGGGGAATAGTGCCCCATCATTGGTGTCAGTGGGGGGAATAGTGCCCCATCATTGGTGTCCATCAGTGGGGGGGAATAGTGCCCCATCATTGGTGTCAGTGGGAGGAATAGTGCCCCATCACTGGTGTACAGTGGGAGGAAAAGTGCCCCATCACTGGTATCAGTGGAAGGAATAGTGCCCCAACACTGGTGTCAGTGGGAGGAATAGTGCCCCATCATTGGTATCAGTGGGAGGAATAGTGCCCCATCATTGGTGTCAGTGGGAGGAATAGTGCCCCATCATTGGTATCAGTGGGAGGAATAGTGCCCCCATCATTGGTGTCAGTGGGAGGAATAGTGCCCCATCATTGGTATCAGGGGGAGCAATAGTGCCCCAACATTGGTGTCAGTGGGAGGAATAGTGCCCCATCGTTGGTGTCAGTGGGAAGTATTAGTGCCCCATCGTTGGTGTGTCAGTGGGAAGGAATAGTGCCCCATCGCTGGTGTCCAGTGGGAGGAATAGTGCCCCCATCGTTGGTGTCAGTGGGAGGAATACTGACCCATCGTTGGTGTCAGGGGGAGGAATAGTGTCCCATCATTGGGTGTCAGTGGGAGGGGAATAGTGCCCCATCGTTGGTATCAGTGGGAGGAATGTGCCCCATCGTTTTGGTGTCAGTGGGAGGAATAGTGCCCCATCATTGGTGTTGTCAGTGGGGGGAGGAATAGTGCCCCATCATTGGTGTCAGTGGGAGAATGGTGCCCCATCATAAAAGGTGTCAGTGGGGGAATAGTGCCCCATCATTGTTGGTGTCAGTGGGGGGAATAGTGCCCCATCATTGGTGTCAGTGGGGGGAATAGTGCCCCATCATTGGTGTCAGTCAGTGGGGGGAAATAGTGCCCCATCATTGGTGTCATTGGGGGAATAGTGCCCTAACGATAAAATGGCCCCATCATTGGTGTCAGTGGGAGGAATAGTGCCCCATCACTGGTGTGCAGTGGGAGGAAAAGAAAAAAATGTGTCCCATCACAATGATGTCAGTGGGAGGAAAAGTGGGGGTCCCATCACTGGTATCAGTGGGAGGAATAGTGCCCCAACACTGGTGGTCAGTGGGGAGGAATAGTGCCCCCATCATTGGTATCAGTGGGAGGAATAGTTGCCCCGATTCATTGGTGTCAGTAGGGGAGGAATAGTGCCCCATCATTGGTATCAGTGGGGAGGAATAGTGCCCCCATCATTGGTGTCAGTGTGGGAGGAGGAATATGTGCCCCATCATTGGTATCAGGGGGAGCAATAGTGCCCCAACTTTGGTGTCAGTGGGAGGAATAGTGCCCCCCATCGTTGGTATCAGTGGGAAGTATAGTGCCCCATCGTTGGTGTCAGTGGGAGGAATACCTAGGTCCCATCATTGGTGTCAGGTGAAGAGAATAGTGCCGGCCCCATCGTTGGTGTCAGTGGGAGGAATAGTGCCCCATCGTTGGTGTCAGTGGGAGGAATAGTGCCCCATCGTTGGTATCAGGGGGAGCATAATAGTTGCCCCAACATTGGTGTCAGTCGGGGGAGGAATAGTGCCCCATCGTTAGTATCAGGGGGAGCAATAGTGCCCAACATTTGGTATCAGGGGGGGAGCAATAGTGCCCCCAACATTGGTGTCAGTGGGAGGAATAGTGCCCCATCGTTGGTGTGACCAGTGGGAGGAATAGTGCGCCATCGTTGGTATCAGGGGGAGCAATAGTGCCCCAACATTGGTGTCAGTGGGAGGAATAGTGCCCCATCGTTGGTATCAGTGGGAGGAATAGTGCCCCATCGTTGGTGTCAGTGGGAAGGGAATAGTGCCCCATTGTTGGTGTCAGTGGGGGGAGGAATAGTGCCCCATCGTTGGTGTCAGTGGGGGGAGGAATAGTGCCCCATCATTGGTATTAGTGACACCAATGATTGGGCACTATTCCTCCCACTGACACCAATGATACTTACCTTGCTGACCCTGCTCCAGTCCTGGGCACGCTCACTCCTCCCTCTCCCATGGTACAGGTCAGACACTTACCGGTCAGATGTCTTCCTTCTCTCCGGCCGCTCTCCTCCCTCTTCACTCGCTTCGATCTTCGCGGTGCCGCTCGGCTCCTTCTTTCCAAGCTCCACCTCCTCGCCGGTGATTGGCCGCCTGTGTGCCTCTCCTGAGCTACAGTTCCGGCGGCCAATCACCAAGGGAAGGATTGATCCCAGGGGTGTGTCCAGAGATGACACGGCAGGGACGGCATGCTCATCCCGCCCACCTGGAGACGGATCAAGGAGCGGTGTCCTCGGTTCCTAAGGGCATCGGAAATATGTGTTTTCCGATGGTCTTAGGTGACCCCCTGGGAAAGTGTCGTTCGACCCCCAAAGGGGTCGCGACCCCCAGGTGGAGAACCGCTGTGCTAAAGTGTTTATCAAAGACCACAAGAACAACTCACAGAGTGCGAGAGAGAAAACATTCTGATCACCAGTCTCTGCTATCGGAAGAGGCACAGTGATGCAGCATGTTACAGAAAAATTAGGTGAAGTTTTCCAGGATTAAAAGGGCATTTAAAGAACAATAAACAACAGATTGGGTAAGTGTGGTCGGAACAGGGACATGCATCTTAAGTTGTGGAAAGTCCTGCAGAAGAAAACAAATATTGATAATGATAATTAATGGGGAATGTATTTTATTTTGCTCTTATTTTGTTTATTAGGTTTAGGACTACCTGAAACAAAAAAATCTGTTGTTTTTACCATTATAGCTAACTACTAATGTGTAAATAGCCTGAAAGGTCTGTCTAATCTGATCTCATGCCAAGTCTGTTCATAACAACTATTTTTTTATTATTTTATTTTATTTTTCCAGATACTTATATAGCGCTGTCAATTTACGCAGTGCTTTACATATATATTGAACATTCAACATCAGTCCCTAACCCTCAAGGGGGCGTACAATCATAAGGTCCCTAACTTACATTCATACATACACATATTAGGTTGGGCCAATTTAGACAGGATCCAATTAACCTACCAGCATGTCTTTGGAGTGTGGGAGGAAACCGGGAGTACCAGGAGGAAACCCACGCAAGCACAGGGAGAACATGCAAACTCCATGCAGGGGGCACCATGGTCGGGAATCGAACCCATGACCCATTTTACTGCAAGGCAGATGTGCTAACTGTTGGGTATTCAACAGCATGTACTATATACAGTATTGTGTGCTAATATCACTTGACCAGTAGATGGCACTGTACACTAAGGTTACCAGTTGTGCATATCTGTAAACTTGTTGGTTCTCTCTCTTCTCTCTCTCTTCAAAACCAAGATGTCTGCTGTTACACAATACTGAAGTGTTCTGTATGTTTGCAACTTAAGCCACACAAGTAAACCAAGTTCTGCCTCATCACAAGCTACCAGTGTCTTCTCTAACACATAACCAACACTAACACTAAGCCACTGTGCCGCCCACTAAACAGCAAAATGGGCGGCACAGTGGCTTAGTGGTTAGCACTAAACAGCAAAATGAGGCAGGGAGCCTCCACCACCACCACCACCACCACCACCCTCTGTTGGAAGTCACAGACCCATATGTATATTTCAATTTGGAAGATGCATTTAATAAATGAGCAGCAAGTTCTGGACCTTTAGACTAAAAGTATAAAAAAGACTGAAGGCTTTTACAGTTTAATTTCGAAAGCATACACAACAATAAGAGAAAACTATTTAAACTGCAAATCTAGTTTTGGGTTACAGCAAGATCCTGGAACATCCAAAGGAAACACAAACAGCACAAGAACATTATAATTCCATGCAGGCAGTGTTTTTGGGTGGGAGGCTGATGTGTCTTTAGGTCAGCTTGTCTGGAGTCTTTTTATATACAATTCTTGGGATACTTGGTTCAGGTCCCACCAAGGACACCATCTGTATAACATAGGTATTTGGTGAAGTAACACTCGTGAAGATTATATGACGGTTATTCAAAGGATAGGGATGTAAAAATCAAGCTTTACTTAGATTTTTCAATGAGCTTTTGCAGAACTATTCAAATCAAAATAGATCTGTGCTGGGTCAAATACAATCCAATAACAGTGTACAAGCAGCCGCTATGCAACTGTGATACCAATTAAACCATTAAAATAATAAAAAAAAGCAGTGCTCAGTAAACAAATACATCACAAACAGAAAATCATATGTGAAAGTCCATAGCAGTCCATGTGTAAATAAATAGTCAACAATTTAGTCTCACATGAATGTGAAAATGTAATCAGTTCCTCTGTCAATCCTTTAGATCAGAGGTCTCCAAACTTTCTGAACAAAGGACCAGTATTCTGGTCTTCTGACTTTAGGGGGGCTGGACTGTAACCAGTGGGAGTGGAAAATGCAGTAGAAATAGTGCCCAATCATTGGTGTCAGTAGAAGGAATAGTGCCCTATTATTGGTATCAGTGAGAGGAATAGTATCTCAACATTGGTGTCAGTGGAAGGAATGTTTCCCCAACACTGGTATCAATGAAAGAAAAATTTCCCCAATACTGGTGTCAGTGGAAGGACAGGTACCCTAACATTGGTGTCAGTGGAAGGACTGATGCTCCAACATTGGTGTCAGTGGCAGGAATAGTACACCATTGATGGTATAAATGGGAGGAAAAGTGCCTCATTTTTAGTGTTAGTGGGAGTAATAGTGCTCTATATTTTATATCAGTGGATGGAATTACTCCCCATTGTTTGTGTCAGTGGCAGGAAAAGTACCCCATTGATGTTACCAGTGGGAGAAAAAGTGCACCATCTTTAGTGTTAGTGGAAGGAATAGTGTTCACTAGTTTATATCAGTGGGAGAAATCATGTCCTAATATTGGTGTTAGTGGAAGGAATGGTGCCTCATATCAGTGGGAGGAATAGTGCCCCAAGAGCCAGATAAAGGCAATCAAAGGGCCGCATCTAGCCCCCCGGGCCAGAATTTGGAGACCACTGCTTTAGATTGAAAGAACTCCATCACTGTGTATCACCAGCAATAGAAGCCTCTTACCAGATCTGGTGGACCATAAAGTTATAAATGGTCAAATTCAATTAAGTGGTTTGCTCCTTCAATGGCTTCCAACATAGGATCAGACACCACACCTTCACTTGCCAAGATTGGCACCAGAGGAAAAAAAACATATACTCCCATAGTGTAGTATATTTACAAATAATATTTGATTCAAAAGTTTCCATAAAGATTTTCACGGTTAAAATCAT